AGCAGTACTAATGTTGCAAACAATATGATTACTGAAAACCTGGGGGTGTTTTGCTTATTTGTTTTTTACTTTATGTCCTTGGAAAATAACTCCATTAGGAATTTACAGTTAATTTAGTTTGTTTTTTTTTTATCCTCACCCGAGGACATTTTTCCATTTTTTATTCAGATAGAGCAGGAGGGAGAGAGAGGAAGTGAGAGAGAGAGAAACATCGATGTGAAAGGGACACATCAAGTGGCTGCCGCCCACACGGCCCAACCAGGGCTGGGGACAGACCGCAACCGAAGTACATGCCCTTAGTGGGAACTGAACCCGGGTCTCTCTGGACCGCAGGCTGAAGCTCTAACTGCTGAGCCAAACGGGCCAGGGCTAATTTAGTATCTTCAAGTCACTTGTAATAGTTCTCTGCGTCGTTAAGCCAAGTCAAGTCTCCTTCTATCACCATTTATCTCCCGACACTATGTCTACCTACCCCCATCTACATTTTCCCTCTGGTAATCACCAAACTGCTGTCTGTGTCTGTGAGTTTTTTGGGTTTTCTTTTTTTTAGCTTAATCCCTTTACTTTTTCACCCACTCTTACAACCCCCACCCCCAACAGCTTTCAGTCTGTTCTCTATTTCTGTTTTGTTTGTTAGTTTATTTTGTTCATTAGTTTCCATATATGAGTGAAATCATATGATACTTGTCTTTCTCTGACTGGCTTATTTCACTTAGCATAATGCTCTCCAGGTCCATCCATGCTGTTGCAAAGGGTAAGATTTCCTTCCTTTTTATGGCTGAGTAGTATTCCAGTGTGGAAATGTACTACAGCTTTTTTATCCTGTCATGTACTGATGGACACTTAGGTTTTTTTCATTTTGCTTTTGATTTTCTCACATTATTGTTAATTATGTTTTATAATTATGTGAAACATTTCATGGTTCTATAGGTAAATCTCCATTCTACAGGTAAATCTCCAAAACAAAATACATTAGGAGAAATAGCATGTCCATTCCTGGTTCCTCATACCCTATTTCTTACCTCTTTTTATAGTAACTATATATATTAGTTTTGGTTTGTCCTTCTGTTTCAAAATATAAGTGTATAATTATATATACATATATATTCACATATATTTGTGTTTTCACTCATTAGGGGAAAAGTTGCCCACTATGAACACTGTTTATATCTTGCTGTTTTTGAGTTAATATGTAGCACTCCATAGCAGATATCATATTCTTTTTTTTATAGGAGCATAATACTCTATTATACCATATTATTTTAAGTGGTTTCCTATTCTGGACATTAAATTGTTTCTAGTCCTATTATAGACAGTATAGCTATAAAATCACCTTGTGTATGTGTCCTTTCATAAGGATTTTTGTTACTTATATTTGGGATGGATTTCTTTAAGTGGAATTTCTGGATTAGAAGGTAAACATATAGACAATTTTGCTGGCTTTGGCCAAATTCCCCTCTACAATGAGACAGTACCATTTTGTATTCCCCTTAGTAATATATGAGAATACTTGTTTTCCCACAGTTTATGAACATACTGTTATCAAACTTCACAAAATATTTTAAGTAGATCTGTATTTTAGAATTTTTGGCAAAAGTATGACATGAACTATAAGGTATGACCCTAATGCCAGAGATATGTTGGGCCTTAACAGTAGAATCAGAGAAATGCAGGTCTTCAGTAAGGGGGTATAGTTACATTACAAAAGTGTTAAAGGTATAGTATAAGGGGGCCAGTAACTGGATGGAGAAATTATGAGGAATTGGCTATAACTCTAAATTTCTGGGAGTATGAAAGAGAATACTCAGCATTAGCAGATTATGGGATGTGAGAATTCTATCTTGGATAACTTGAATTCCGGGTGCTTCTGTGACATCTGTGTTAGAATTGTAGTTGGATATATGAATCTGAAGAGGAAAATTTATAATAGACTGGAGCTTTAGAGTCATCACTCTATGTAGTATTAAGATATATGTAGCCCTGGCCGGTCTGGCTCAGCGGTTAGAGCATCGGCCTGTGGTTGGGAGAGACCCAGGTTCGGTTCCCGTTAAGGGCGCGTACCTCAGTTGCAGTTTGTCCCCGGCCCTGGTTGGGTTGTGCGGGTGGTGGCCACACGATGTGTCCCTTTCACGTCGATGTTTCTTTCTCTCTCTCTCTCCCTCCCTCCCACTCTATCTGAACAAAAAATGGAAAAATGTCCTCAGGTGAGGATAAAAAAAAAAAAAAAGATATATGTAGATGAAGATGCTCAGGAAAAGATGCAGAGTAATATTTGAGCACTTGGATGATGTTGATTTTGGTAAGAGTATTTTATATATGCCCCTTCCATGTTTATTTTTTTATATAGCAATTGACTTAACATCTCTTACTAGAATTAGAAAAATATACTTCACTTTTATGATTTATTTAGAGACTTACTATATAGAGAGTATATATACATGTAGATTATGTATACATATACTGTACAATATAATTCTGTTCTGAAATTGTACAAATTTAGTCCCAGGACAAACATAGCTTAAATTCTTATGTTCTGAAATATGGGGTGATTTATTTTACCTTATTTTCTATAAACATTTTGTATATAACTTTAAAATGCTCAAATTCTCTACTTGGTTCAAAATATTTCCATTCTTGGTATCTAATTTTAACAAACTTAGACAAATAAATGGAAATTTATAATGTTTTTGCCATTACAGCATTAAATATACAGATACATGATAATATGATGTCAAAATTTAATTTTCACAGTACAGCTGAGAAAAGAACATCATCTAAAAAGAGTTTTCTATCCTATATGACTTTTAAAATATTGAGGCAGGAAACAAATTCACAGCTTTAGAATTAGAAAGGCCCTAAAAGATCTAGATTAACTTCTTTGTTTTATAGGTTAAGAACGTATTGGTTATTTTTCTGACCAAACTAATATGAAACAATATGAGTATATAAATACCAAGTGTTACTCCAGAGATCTCTTAAGTTTACCTTTGGCCATTAAAAATGGAATTTAAATGGAAGGAGAGTAGAACCATAGACATGGCTTTGTACTTGTCACATTCTTTCTTTAGGATTATTTCTGTGATAATGAATATTAATAACTGATACTACTTTACAAGTTTTCTAATTTTAGTTTTTAAAACAACCATGTGAATACAGTTAGTTACCATTAGGCACATTTTACACATGAGAGACAGTCATAGAGAGGTTTTAGTAACTTTCTTCCCAAGGTTACACAGTAGTAAGAAACTAATAAAGTGGGAATTTAAACCCAGGCAGGCTAAAAACAAAACATTTTGAGTGATGATAAAGGATTAAAAGCCTTGCCATGTAAGTTGAAGGAAATTCATTTAAAATGTTTTTATTTAGGAGAGAAGATTGAGAAGGGGGGGGGGGCGGGACGAGTCAGGCAGGGACATCTTGACAGTCAAATATGAGGTCTGTCTCGGAGAGAGTGTATAGATTTCTTCATGGAACTTAGGCATGCAATGAATGAGTTCCAAAGCTTAAGCTTGTCTTTGGTCCAGTATCAATTATCTTTTCTTTTTAGAGTTAAAATGGATACTTCATCACTTACTGTCCGAGCAAAGGTTGCATGGTTATTTGAAACGCTTGTGGTAGAAGGGAAATATGGCACTGAGAGGGTAAAATGGGCCCCTTGCTAATTCTGGGATTTTTTTTTTTTTTCCAATTAACTAAAATGTGAAGAGACTTGATTAAATTGGGTAATTAAAAAGATCCCACCTAGGATTAATATTCATTTATTCTAAGTGAATTAGATATACTGTGAGATACCTAGGCCTGCATAGTACTTGTTTGATTCAGAACAACGAAGCCTAGCTACTAGAGCTGATTCCAACTCCAGACCCATTACATTTTGAATAGGCCACTCAGTTGGTTAAGGGTAACTGTCTCCCCTTAGTTTCTACTTGCTAATGCTGTCACACTAAGGAATGGCATTTAATTATTGTGTTCCTATATCAAACTTGAGCATGCTTTAGAATTTCTGAGAGGATTTGTGAAAGTAGAATTGCTAGGGCTTATTCCCAGAGTTTCTGATTCAGTAGATTCGAAATGGAGCATAAGAGTTTGCCTTTCTAACATGTTTCCAGGTGATGCTAATGCTTCTGGAGTGGAGACCACACTTTGAGAACCACCACTATAGTAGTGTAAGTCTGTGCCCAGTAGAGCTTTCCAAGAGCACAAACCAGATACTACTCATTTCTTTGTCCCTCTACCTACTTACTACCTACCAATACATAAAGGTACAGGTCTTAATTTTACAGAAACCATTGTGGACAGTTACATTGTTATCTTTGGTCTGTTGATACCAGAAATTAGGCCTAAAATTGAGTAACCTTCTAAAGCTTTAAATTCATGTCAGGATTGGTTTTATGTTAAGCTTACTTTTAGAAACAAAAACTAAGATTCTGCTGCAATTCTCTCACATGATTCTACTTTCTGATACATAAAAATTTCCAGATTGGTTTTGTTATGTTTTTTGTTTGTTTTGTTTTGTTTGTTTTTGTTTTTGCCATTACTAGGGAGCTGGCTACATGTAAGAAGTAGAATTTTTTAACATTTTTCCGGGGAAAATGGAGGCTATTGAAATGTACTGGGTTCATGTTCTTATTATGTCTTAAAGCAAATGGCAAAACTGGAATTGGTTTCAGGTTCAGGAAGAGGTCAGCATCTACTCCTACTAAAGTAATTCTTAAACTTGGGTTAAGAAAAGGTGGAGGAATAACTTGTGGGGTTTTTTAAATTGTGTTTTGTTTTGTTTTTATTCCCCCACCCCCGCTTCCCCCAAGCTAACGAAGAATGTCTCACTAAGATTTTAGCAAGAATTATTTGTTCTGGCAGTTAACATCATGAATAAGTATCACTTACCTTAAGTGCCATTAAGAATAATATGATTAGGTTTTTACATATGTTGTATATAATTTTAGTCTTTGGCAGTTATCGTAAGCAGTGCCCTATGATTCTTCTTTTTCTCTCCTCAGATATCCGGAAAGTGGTACTGTAGAAATAAATGTGAAGGATCTTCGGCCACGAGCTAGAACCACTTTGAAATGGAATGAATTAAATATCGGTGATGTGGTAATGGTTAATTACAATGTAGAAAGTCCTAGTAATAGAGGATTTTGGTTTGATGCAGAAATTACTGCATTGAAGACAATCTCAAGGTCCAAAAAAGAACTTCGTGTGAATATTTTCTTGGGGTAAGATTCTCTTCACTGATGCCTTTAAGAATGTATTTTTTAGGTGTTAAGCACATGTTCCTTTTTTTAAAGAAAAAATCTATGAAAGATGGAAATTTACATACTGAAGGAGACTTAAAAATAAATTCTTGAGAGTTTTTTATTAAGAATATCCTTAAATCTTCATACCTACTTTTGAAATAACTGAGTGTTTTATTAGCGAAATCCTTGTTTATCTCACAGAATGTTTATAGATTAAACCAAATAATATACAAGAGCATTTCAATAGTCATGGTTGCTATGAGGATCTATGTTGATATAATAGCTGTGACTGTCTGCCTTTAACTAGCTATCTGCTGGGCTTGCAAGACTGTCTTAAATGTTTCTTTATATAGTAATTTTCTTCAACTTACAGAATTTGACAAACTTAATGAAGAAAATTTAAAAGGTAAAATGTCACCAAAATACCAAATCACTCGGGTATTTTCATCATTAATTTTTAAGAAATACTCTTAGATGTTTCCCTCAAGTGATATATTACGATGCATTGTTTCACAGCTACCTTTTTACACTTAGGAAAATATCACCATCTTTCTTAGTCTGATTCTGCTGAATAGTTTATTGGATGAATAGTCACTAATTTACTTTTTTTTTCATACAAAAAGATTTGTTAAACTGTTTCCAGTTCTTTATTATAAATTATGTTTAAGTTAATAATCTTGTGTTTAAACACATATTTGTGCATTTCCTTTATTTAGAATGAGTCAGTTCTTAGAAATACATTTGCTGTGTTAAGCACTGAGGATTCTAGGATGACCTTGACAGTTTTCTTTTACATAAGGGAACCAGCCAAACTAATATTCTTGTCAAGTTCTGGTTAGATGGATTATTCTAAATTATTATACTATATATTTTATATAATATATAACATAATGGATATATTACACCTTTGGTAACATTGAGATGACCAATCGGGGATCAAGCATCTGCTTATGGTTAATAATATAAAGCAGGGGTCTATAAACTACAGCCCACTTGGCTTCCTATTGTTATGAAAGTTTTACTGGAACACAGCGCTGCTCATCCATTTATGTATTCTCTGTGGCTGTTTCTGTACTCAACAGCATTGTTGAACAGTTGCACCTGAGACTGTCTGGCTTGTAAAATCTAAACTACTTATTCTGTTACCCTCGATGGGAAAATCTTTGCTGACTCCAAAGGTAAAGAAAAAGAATGTTGTGTGAGGTGCTGAAAATAGCTTATATTTTAGAAAACAGTTGTAGAACTTTATCCAAACACAAGTGTGATTTTATTGCCAGAATTAGGATGTAACTCAATTACAAACTTCCAAGCCACTTGAAATTCTGATATGGATACAGATCATGAAGAAAAGGAGAGAAAATATATATATAAATTGGTTATATAGGGAGCCTTATAAAGTACTTGAGTTCAGGAAGTTCAAAAAAGCACGTGTACACAATAGGAGAGGATAACAATACATCACATTGAGATGAAAAATGGCTTGCTATTAAAAAAAAAGTTTCCTTGAGTGATTCTGAAGTACAGTTAGAAAGGAGCCACCCTGGTTTTAGGGACTAGAACTAAGAATGAGCAGAAATTATAGATAGGTAAATATTGACTCACTAGAGAGAAAAGTTATATGATAGTTATCCCAAAAGTAAAACACACTGTCCTATATAAAGTATTATGTTCTTCGTCATTTAAATTTTTACTAGACACATTAGGAACACAAAGCCAAAAAGGAGCCAGTATGGCTTGTGAATTGGATTTTTTTCATGGTTAGAAATCTTTTTCCTCACTGGAAATAGTGGGTAAATAGAGTGAAGGTATGCATGTATTCTGCTGTTCATAGACAGTTTGGGGTTGTTACAGACAGTGCTGCCATGACAACATATGTGACCTGGTGGTTCTGTGGATTAGTTTTTGTAGTGCACATCTTGTGCAGAAGTAGAATTGTGGGATTGTAAAACCTGTGCATCTTCAACTTTAATGGCTAGGACCAAATATTTAAGTGGTTGTTCTGGATTGTGCTTCCATAGCAATATAAGAACTCCCATTTCTTTGCATTCTCATTCACATTTTGTCATACTTGAGGTTTTGATAATCAGTTGGGGGTGTATAATGAAATAGTAGATCATTAGCTTTACTTTTTATTTCTCTGCCTCCTAATGAGATTGAGAACCTTACGTTTATTGGCAATTTGGATATCTTTGTGAGGACCCTGTTTCAAACATTGGTGTTTTGTTATTGTTAGTTGGGTAGTCTGTCTTACTGATTTTTAGGAGTTCTAATTGTGAAAACTTGACCATTTCAGTTATATGTGGAGAAAATATCTTCTCCAATTCTATGACTTATCTTTTCTCCTTGATGTTTGAATAGTGTTCTTAATTTTAAATAGTCAAGTTTATGAAAATTGTTTTCTTGTGTTTATACTTTCTGTAAGAAACCTTCTTGCTTAAGAAACTTTCGAGGATTGAGGAGCAGGGTCAGGGGAAAGAAATGGGTGAGGATGGTCAAAAGGTACAAACTTCCAGTTATAAGATATACAAGTTCCAGGAATGTAATGAGTACCATGATGACTATAGTTAACAATAGTGTATTGTATATTTGGAAGTTGCTAAGAGAGTAGATCTTAAAAGTTCTCATCACAAGAAAAAAAAGTTTTAACTGTGAGATCATGGATGTTAACTAAACTTTTTGTGGTAATCATTTGTCAATATATTCATATATCAGGTTATTATGTTATATACCTTAAATTTATACAATGCTATGTCAATTATATCTCAATAAAATGTAGAGGGGAGAATGGAGAAACTTTTCCCTACCCAGAAAGCATACAGACATTCTCCATTATTACCTTAAAAATTTTGTGGTTGTGCCTTTCTCTAGGTCCTTAATCCACTTGAAGTTGTTTTTTGTGTACAGTGTGAGGTAAGGGTTTAACTTACCTTGATTTTTTAGTATATGTGCTGCCGAAACGAGCACTAACTTACCAATTATCAAAAAGCCCACTTTTCCCTCATTGATCTTCAATATCACCTCATCACAAGTATCTTTATATTTGATACATCCATCTGGTCAGCATTCTATAACATTGATCTGTTTTGTGTATCCTTATATCGGTTACACACTTTCATAATATGACACAGCAGATTCTTAGCTTTGTATATTTTCATTTGAATTTTCCAGTCATCTTGGTAATGTCCACATAAAAACCATTGGGAATTTGATAAGTGTTACGTTGAATCTAATTCATAATGTGATTTCTCTCCATTTAATTAGGTCTTTAATGTATTTTTCTCAAGTTTTTATTAGGTTGAACCATATGAAATATGCTTTTGTAGGTTCAAATATTTAAATGTTGGCAATTATTATGGTTCAACCTGATAGAGATTTGATCTTATATATTCTTTGTTATCCTTATTTAACCTTAGGTACTACTTATTGTTACTGTAAATGGTATTTTATTTTGTTTTTCTCTTTGTTACTGGTATACAAGTAACTTTTAATCTTGGATACAGGAAAGTTACTAGATTTACTAATTTTAATTTACAAGTATATTTTTTTTGAATTTTTTTTTCTTTTTTTCTCCTCACCTGAGGACATTTTTGCATTTATTTTTAGTTAGAGTGGGATGGAGAGGGAGGAAGAGAGAGAGAGAAACATTGATGTGATAGAGATGCATCTAGTGGCTGCCACCCACACGACCCCAACCGGGGTTGGGGACAAACTGCAACCGAGGTATGTGCCCTTAGCAGGAACCAAATCCGGGACTTTGGTCTGCGGCCCAACGCTCTAACCGCTAAGCCAAACCGGCCAGGGCTGTTTTTGAATTTTTATAATTATAATTCTGTGGATGACATTTTTGTTTTGCCCCTTTATTTGATTGCTTTCTCTTTATTCATCAGTTACTCTTTAGTACATTGTTGAAAGGAGATATTGATAGCATGTTTGTTTGTTTTTTCCTCCTGCTCTCCAAGAAAAACTTCCAAAATTCATCATTAACTAGTTTAATACAGGTATTTTATGCATATTCTTCCGTGGGTTTGTTTGACAATGTTTTGTATAGGATTTTTATATTTGTGTTGAGTGAAATTTGCATGTTAATTTTTCTATGTAGCTGTCCTTCACGAATGATGCTGGTTTTATAAAATAATTTGGTAGAATATTATTTTTCTATCTTATGGCAGGGTTTTGTGTCCTTTTCTTCAATGTTTGTTAGAATTTCTCAGTAAAGTCCTCTGGGGCTGAGTTTCTTTGTGAGAAGGTTTTTTAAGATTGATTCAATTTCTGTGATGATCAAAGGACTATTTGGATTTTCTATCTCTTCTTAAAATAGGATTTAATTTTCTAGAAACTTGTCTGTTTTATCTAAATTTCAGTTGATTGTCATATTTTATTTGGTAGCCTCATCTTTTAATGTGTAGAGTCTTTGTTGTGATGGTCTCTTTTTTATTCTTGAATTTAGTATGTGACTTCTTAATCTCACCAGAGGTTTATTAGTTTTATTAGACTTTTGCAAAGAACTGTCAGCTTTGATCTTCTATTGTATTGAAGGTGCAGTGGAAGAAGCAAGTAGGGATGATTTTTAATCTCTTTGGAGATTTGATAAGGGAATTTGGAGTTAAAGTTCATGGTTTTGTTTTTTTTTAATTTGTGAGTACCAAAAAGTGACTATGCTTAAACTGTTGAATTCTAGTTATCAAATTCTATTTTAACTTTTATTTTTTCTATTTTAGAGAATTCAAAACAAAAGTTTATAGTCTAAATGTATTTTTCAAAATAATTTGTTCACTTATTATGGTAATGTATGTTATATTTAGTATCACAGGAAGTCATACTAGTTTATATACTCATAAATAGAATTTGAATCCTATAGCAAAAAATAATTTGTTTTACTGTAACACTGTAAATGTACTTACTTGATTTTCAGTGTCATTTTTATAGAGTTTTATTTATTTACTAAATTTTATTCATACTTGTTTATCATGAAATCTCTT